TGAAATGGCAATGGGCACTTTAGTTCTTCAAATTNTGATATGCCACCAATCGGCGGCCATCTTGTTTTAGTAACTAAACCTGTGCAACAAGTAGAAGAGCGCGGCAACCAGGTAGTTTGGTGACTTTAGGGATTTGGAACTTTACTGATCGGATAGAGGACTCGATTGGCCATCCGCATGCGCAATTTGATTCAAATTGGATTTAAATTGAACTCTAGGGCAGGCATGTAGCGAAACATGACTGAAATGAGGTTTTTTGGACATTAATTTGGGCTTAGTGGTTAGGCCTTTTCATTTTCAAAATGCAAAAAGTAGACTTTGAATGGGATATTTGAAATGGCAATGGGCACTTTAGTTCTTCAAATTTCGATATGCCACCAATCGGCGGCCATCTTGTTTTAGTAACTAAGTCTGTGCAACAAGTAGAAAAGCGCGGCAACCGGGTAGTTTGAGTGACTTTAGGGATTTGGAACTTTACTGATCGGATAGAGGAGTGAATTGACTTTCCGCATGTACAATCGAAATCGAACTTTAACGGAGATTTAACCGTGGGACAGACTTTAGGTAGACTTGTTTATTTTATTGCTGGAGAAGGGTTTTTTGGACTTTTATTTTTTTGGCGCAAGAAAAAGCTTTTTCAGGGCTTTTCAGACACTTTTTCTAGGACAGAATACACTTGGGATTTCAAAAATGCAATAAAAAAATTTCAGTTTTAGGCACCTTTAATTGTCGAAAAAATGTAAACAAATGAGTTACCTCCCGTAAAGTTAATTAGGGCAAAAAAAAATTTTCACGGCCAAGCGGGGCTCTGGGGAGTCATTTAGGCATTATCATCGTCTTCAGTGCATTTCATTTCATAAATGTGGACCAAATGTCCTTCAAAACTTAATTCACAGACACAGAAACTGTCAATTTCTTGAATGTAGGTCACATGCATATAATTATCATTTATTGCGTCATGACACTGCTTGCCTTCAGTGCACTTCACTTGCCGCCAGTTATTCATCGTAGCTGGTCGCATTTTGGCAAGACTTTTATAAAGTACATTTGTTTGGGTTTAGCGGTTTAGTTCGAAAGTTGGAAGTTCACATGGATGTAGCCAGATACAACAGCTCCATGTCTGCGCACTTCTAGTTTTACGGCTCTGAAATCAACAAAATGAGTAAACTTAAAAGACTGTTGCACCAAGTTGACCAAGCTCCATGTAAGCCCTGTAACTGGGCTAATATTGGAGTCCGGCAGCTGGAAGTTCACAGGCATGCAGCCAGATAGAACCGCTACATGCTTGTGTACTTCTAGTTTTTTTGGCTCTAAAATCAACAAAGTGAGTAAACTTAAAAGACTGTTGTACCAAGTTGACCAAGCTCCATGTAAGCCATGTAATTGGGCTACTATTGGAGTCCGGAAGTTGGAAGTTCTCGGGTATGTAGACAGATAGAACAGCTACTTGCCTGTGAACTCCAACTTTTTTACTCTAAAATCAACAAATTGAGGAAACTTAAAAGACTGTTGTACCAAGTTGACCAAGCTCCATGTAAGCCCTGTAATTTGGGCTAATATTGGAGTCCGGAAGTTGGAAGTTCACAGGTATGTAGCCAGATAAAACAGCTTCATTCCTGTGAACATCCAACTTTTTGGCTGTAGAATCAACAAAGTGAGTAAACGTTTCGAAATAAATGGTAAGAAGGTAGGTAGGTAGAACAACACTTGACTTTTTTCAGCTACATCAACAATACCACTTTGACAGAAGAAGATTTGGAAGGATTTTGGAAGGTTGGGACCAGAGGGTTCAGTAGCGAGATACAACTGCTTCTGAACTCTCTTGTACCTGGTCTTCAGAATCCAAAAACAACAAACAAAGTGTTACCATGAGAAGAAGACTTTTCGAAATAAATGGTAAGAAGGTAGGTAGGTAGGAAGTAAGGAAGGAAGGAAGGAAGGAAGGTAGGTAGGTAGGTAGGAAAGTAGGAAGTTTTCAAGCATTTGGGGAAGAACAAGGTGGGTTGAAAAAAGTGAAATAGATCCACTTTTTTTCAATCCACTTTGTACTTTTTTGGATGCAAGAACAACACTTGACTTTNTCAGCTACATCAACAAGCCA